CCACTTCATCAGTGGAGTATATACAAAAGGAGCCAGCTTTAAGTTCCTTATCACTGAAGACGTGCTCTTCACTAAAATTGATGCAGGGTAACCTCAGGGGATATTTCGAAAACCTCAGGGACCTATGTCTAAACCACTTAATTGAAGTTAAAACGGATCATATACCGATAGAATATGTCGACCAGTCATATAAGGTCGTATTTAGAAGTAGGGAAGAATGGACGAAGGGTGAGCCCCAATTCAATAAAGGAGCCCTTGCTTGGTACACCGATGCTTCAAACACAATTGGATTCGGAGTAGGTATGGACATTAGTGGAGCAAATAGCCGCATTCAGTGGCCACAAAGTTCGGATACAACCATTTTTCAAGCTGATGTTCTTACCATAAACTTGTGCACCGTTTTAAACCTAGGAAAGGGACAGAAATTGGCATTGATAAACATTTTTACGCACAGTCAAGCCGGCTAAAGGCAATTCAGGCCTACACGTGTGACCGAGAAAACTCGCCAGGGACGATGAAGTTACTCTATGGTGGGTGCCAGATCATAAAGATATCAAGGTTAATAAAAAGGTAGACAAGCCAGCCTAGAATCAGCGAGGACGCCCTGTATTGGACCCCAACCAGGCTGTGGACTACAAAATCCACTTAAAACTGGTAATTAATACATGGGAAGACTCAAAGCTAGCCTTGTTTTTGTTTTTTAGCCCTTTTTTGGTAACTCCGTCGCAAAAGAAAACTAAAGAGGTTTTATGCCTCAGCAAAGGAAGCTAAGATCGCTTTCAGGTTTCTTGGTCTCTTTTTAAAATACCACCTCTTTAACATTGGAAGCTGGAGATCAAACTTTTGGACTTTGCAATAACGAGTCAGAGCGGTCTCTGACATATTCTGTGTGAATGCGTCGCCAGAGGCTACTTAAGACACAAAATTTTCGGAAAGGTTCGTCTGCCACCTGGTTACCCTAAACATTTTTGGGCTTAAGTTATAATAGATCTTATAGATCGGAGTGACGTGAGGGGCCGCACCCCTCAGGACGGCAGCAACAACAATAATAATGGTCTGCGGTTCTTGGTTGTAGCTAAGGTACCACAACCAAGATTCTCGTCGACATAGATACAGACCTCTTCTCATTCCTGTTCTTCTTCTTTGTAGAAGCCATAGAGACTTGTTCTAACTTTTTGGATGCTGGTTTGCAAATCATGATGATTTTTTCTGCCGGTATTCTAAACGCCTACAGTAGCCATTGCAGTCAAGGGTATTTTTTCTGTGTTAAGTATCTTTGTTTTATATGATATCGTTTATATTAAGTTGTCTGATTCTTTCTATTATACATATGTGGGTACACTCCTTTACGACTCGTTTATACTCTTTTATATAATTCCTGTATAACGTCCGGCAGTCGTAAATCTATAAAGAATAAATATGCCGATTTATTATGTTCTATTGCTTTCTCCCCTACTTGGTTAACTACAAAAACCGCGTCGACCTGTTTTTCCAAAATCCAAAATGTTGTTTCCCGCTTGTTGTTATGTGTTTCAGAATGCGGTGTTTTCTAAGGACATTCCTTTCTTAAAGAGTGATAGTGATTCACCGGCTCTCTGGAGTTTGTACGCAATGCACTATTTTATTACAGTTCCGTGAGTTGTTCTGCCCTCTTCAGCCAGCTTACTGAGAATATTGTCCGGACCTTGCCGTATTTCATCTGTAGTACTACTTCGTCCATTATAAATTGTTCCATTTCCTGAACATCCTCATCAGTTGCTTCCTCTAATCCGTGTTCTTCGGCGGAAGACAAATTTCATTCTTCACATTTTATTATCCTGGGTATTAAATATCTACTATTACCGGTGACTGTTTTCCTCTCTTATTGGGGTCTGTACACATTATCCGATTATACACATCCGCCCTGCCCTAACATATTCACTGACCCTTTCAGGGAATGAACACGATTTATTTATCGTTGTCGTAGTACACTATTTGATTTTGACGTTTAATGGGTCTTCAGTGCGTCATACTTAGAAAGATCTAAAGTTAGAATGATTGCAAGCAGTAGGAAAACTATAAACCTAACCGTAGTCGTCTCTCATTAAAGGAAATTGGAATTTAAAATTTTGATTGTTCCTTGAAAGACCCCTAATATTAATACTATTTTTGCAATTCCTTTCATATTATTTCAAACAATTCTGAGCAATTAAAATGTTGAGAATCTTACCAAATGTGCATTTTGAAAAAAAAGAAAATATTATTTATTGTTGCTTGTACCGTTTTATAGTTTCCTTCTAAAAGCACCGATAATTGAAGAAAAACGATTAAAGTCATCGTAAATTCTACTTGCGAAACCAAAAATACGATGAAAAACATGGAAAACGGAATGTGTCGCGAATTTTCCGACTTGTTTATGTGTAATTGAGAAGGGAAGTATCACAAGTGTAATTCATCGATTTCCCAGAAAAATACAATCTACACCACAGCGGTAAATCCTTTTTTAACTCATTAGGTGATATCATGTTTGCATTAAGATAACGAATCGTTTTATGCGCCGAGGTACAGAAATAACAATTAAAATTTATGATATACCTCTAAAACAACAATTAATAAAATTTTCAAGCTTGATTTTCTCGTATTACAATGAAGTATTTGACTTAAATGTTAAAACAGAATTAAGCGGTTTATTTTACCTTTCACTTTTGATGTTTTATTGATGATAAACCGATAATGGACGATGTATTGTAGCTACATCAACATTGAAAATTAACGATGAAACAGTTTATATTTCAATTATATTATGACTACATTTTCTAATAGAAACATTATTTATTACCCTTTTTGATATTTGAACTATTATTATGATTATCTAAGATATTTGACAGTTTTTTTTTGCTTTTTAATTCTATATCATTATGAAAACCTACATATAACGATCTAACAAATAACTTCTGAATTCAGTCGGAGAATGATCTTAAAACACACGAAAACTTTATGAGTACGTATAATGATAATTTTTTATTATATTTCATAACAAAAGTGTCAGAAAAAGACAGTGAGCACAAAAACAGAAGTCAATCCAAACATTGCTGGCATATATCTCGATATAATCAGTCTCGCCGAACATTGGCTGACTGAGAAAGAGATTAAAGCAATCCCAATATGGCCACGGAGGATCATGCATTTTCATTAAAACGGCCAGAAATTTTAAATAACTAGGAAATCTGAAAAGTCTTAGCGAAGAATTACTTCTGAAATGCACAAGGATTAAATTAAAAGAAACCTAAACAATTATACAACAAGTGATAGAAATAATATTAAACCTAATGAGTTTATTTATCAATTGAATATCTTATTACATAATATGGAGAACTATCTAACAAACTATGCTATAATTGTATGTAGTGACACCAATACTAATGTACAAAAGTAGGTTCGTGAACAATCGTTTTTGTTGGATACAATTACTGAACATAATCCAAAACATACAGCAAAAGAACCAGAATTTCTTTGACGTACTAAAAACCAAGAATCCCGAATATGAGTTAAGACAAAACCTCCAAAATTCAGGTCAAAACACTAGCAGCGTCTTCAATGCGGAGAATGTGACATTATTACTAAACCTTTGAGGCACATATACAATATTAACATGGCAAATTTCTCAAACAAGAGAAGAAAGCCATAGTCATTCCGATTCATGAGAAGGGCAATAACAAGCTATTTAATAACTATAGACGTATAAAATTAACATCCAATATCTCCGAAGGATATTGTCAATTTTATGGAATCAAATATACTCTCGAAAAGTCTAAACGCCTACTTGAAGGGAACAAATACTGAACGTGGAATCTATAAAATGATATCAGAAATAATAAAATAATTAAACGAAAAAGGCAAGAGTGTAGCTAGATTGTATCTGGATCTATCATAAGCATTTCACACAGTGCGCGTGATAAGTAAAATACACAAGTTTTAAACTTTAAAAGTGCACAATTTTTATTTATTGAGCCGTATTTTCCAGCATTTTTATTAATTATTATCATAAAAACTAATGAACCGATATTTCATTGCTAAGTACGATCATCAAAATGTTATAATGTATGTATAGGTGTCCCATTAGAAAATTTATTATGCTAAATTATTTGGGTTAACAAAAAAAAAATCGACGTGTCTTGGCTCATGACGATATATTCCGATCGTTGTGTAATGCCAGGTAGATTCTCAACAACAACGATGAGCTCTCTCTTCTCAAGTTTATCGTTATTACTATGGATGGTCGGCCAATTAGTTTCAATTACAGAAAACTAACATATACTATAGACTTACATTTCGTTCAGTCACCAATTTCAGTCAAAAATCTAACTTCTAACATAATGTCGTATAGTTCTTATTATTTACGTGGCGGCAAGCACCACAGCCAACCTTAATTAAAATCATTACTATGTAAAAAAGTATTTATTTATGTGCACATTTGTTTGGTACATAATTATAAAAGTTCTCATGTGAGTAGTAAAATCGCCCTCCTTTGAAAGTCCTTCCATAAACTGGTGACTTCGACGAACACGACCCTTCGTGTGAATTATTTTTAATTATTTTCTGATGCTCTGAAAGCTACGAGATAAAACGATATAAAACGGTAAAATGTTTATCATATTTTTTAAGAACTTCTTGCAAAATTTTGTGTGAAGCTTCTTCTTCTACTCCTACAATTAACANTAATTTTATCGAAAAAAGTTAATCTTGATAAAAAATTTTGCTACTTCTTAGAGTAAGATTGGGATAGAAACATTTAACATATTTTATACGCGGTGTTCAGAAAATTGAAAAAAACTTTAAATTGTACAAGAGTAAAGTTTGAGAAGATAAGGAAATAAGTTACTAGGAAAAGTTGTTCAAAAGTACTCTCTAATACCAATTTTAGAAAAAATCAACTTACTGTTATTTATTTGTGATCATTAAATTTATTTTAATATCAGTTAACTAATTCTAAATTAACAATGCACAAATTGTAAGTTTATTTACTCAAACACACTATTACACTGTTGGGCACATGCCTTTAAACGAACAAGTAATTCATCAAAACTTTTTCTAACCTCATGTAAAGATATTGAAGCAACGGTATCTCTAATCGCATCCTTTAATTGATGAGTAGTGGCATTTATTTGAGGTGTGCAATAAACAATTTGTTTCAATCGGCCCCATAGGAAAAAATCCATTAATGTTAAATCTGGACTCCTAGGAGGCCACTGAACTGGTCCTTGTCTCCCAATCCAGTGGCCTGGAAACGTATGGTCTAACCATTGTCTAACCGTTGCCGCATAATGTGCTGGGCATCCATCTTGTAGAAAATAAAATGAACGACTGTATTCTAATGGAAGATTGTCTAATTCACCATCGAGGAAATTTCTTACCATAGCTAAATAACTATTCGCATTATAAGTAGTGTCAAAGAAGTATGGCCCTATTATTCCGTAATAAGAAATGGCGCCCATATATTTACTTTAACACAGTACTAACGCCTCCGTAGTATTCGAAAATACGAATTAGATTCACTCCAATATCGTGCATGTTGCGAAGCCACAACACCATTGGTCGAAAAAGTTGATTCATCAGAAAACCACCAAAACATGATTAAAAAAAATAAAACTGGCTTGTATGGATGTATCTTGTTGTGTTTTAATATCTTCTGAATTTGCGACTTTTTAACAAATTGGAGATTTTCAGCTCTTCTTCTTATTGATAATTTCTGGTGTTCCTTTACTGAATGTAATACCAACAAAGTGCTTGCAACATTTTCATCGTATCTCTTCTTTTCTCTAGGTATTCGCAACAATGACCCAGTGCTTAAAAACTTCAACATTATTTTACGGCAAGTAGTCTCAGAAACGTACCCATTGGAGAATTTTTCATTACATTCCTGAACATTGCAGCAAGTAAATTTTTTGTTGTAAAGTATGCATTTTAAGCTGACAATACTACGGCTAATAAAGTATAAAAGCGAAGTGTCAATAAAGCTTGTCACTATCAACGCCTACTAGTACAAAAATGATCACAAATAAATAAAAGTAGGCCGATTTTTTCGAAAATTGGTATTAGAGACTATCTTTTACTTTTGAACAACTTTTCCTAGTAACTTATTTCTTTATCTTCTCAAATAAATGCACTTTACTCTTGTACCATTTAAAGTTTTTTCAATTTTCTGAACACCACGTATAAAATATGTTAAATGTTTCTATCCCAACCTTACTCTAAGAACTAGTAAAGTTTTTTATCAAGATTAACTTTTTTCGATAAAATTAAAAATAAAAAAGTTTTTCCTATTCAACACCTTTTCCGTGGACATACTGTATATACAAAATTGCTTAGTTTATACCACCCCGTATATTAATATAATTCTATAATAAAAATAATATAAGTTGTTTGTTTAATTGAGATTATCCATTATTTTCGATATCAAGTGAATGAAAGCGTTACATTCTGTCAGAAATAGCCAAATTATTTGACCCTCTAGCTTGGCTAGCACCTGTGGTTATAAAAGCAAAAATTCTCATTCAAGAGTTATGGCTCCAAGAATTAGAGTGGGATCAAGCTATACGTGGTTTGTATGTACGGTCTAACGTGGTTTGTAGGGTTGTGGAGGTGGAGGGTACCTTGGAACAATTATGGATAAGGGTTTCACTGAAGAAATTATCGTTATTGTGTGGTGTTATTTATAAGCCCCTAAACATAGCTGCTGGAGATTTTATAGCTTCTTTTGAAGAAGTATTGGCACAAGTTACTTTATTGGCTGACTATGTTTTATGCGTTGGGGACTTTAACATAGATATGCTCAAATCTGACACGGCAGCTGTTTCTGAATTAATTAATACACTGGAGGTGTTTGAACTACACCGGCTAATTAACGAGCCAACACGAGTCACCCCAAAAACTGTCACTTTGCTTGATGTTATTCTGTTCTCCAACGATGAATTGGTGTCTGATAGTGGGGTGTTGGATAATGATTTGTCGGATCATTCTCTGGTCTTTGTCGAGCTGCATACACCACAGGAGAGGGTCGTACCCCTTTTCAAAATATATCGGAATTACGTTCGTTTTAACGAGTTAAAGTTTTATGAGCATTTACAATCATTACCCTGGCGAATTTTATATGAGGTTCAGACTATAAATGAAAAAGTTAGATTTCTAAATGAAAATATACTAGTGCTACTGGATCTGCACGCGCCGTTAAAGAAAGCTCGAATTACCAAGCCATGGGCCCCCTGGATATCTGCTGAACTAAGAGAAGCCATGCAAAATCGAGATAAACTGCTTCAATCTCTTAACCGCTCACGAGACCCCGTGCATTGGCAACAATATAAAACGGCGCGTAACTTGGATACAAATATGCATCGCAATTGTAAACGCAAATATTTACAAAAATTTTGGATTTGGGTAACTGGGGTCGCTAAAACCTGGCATACACACGATGGAGTATAAGTTAAAACATTAGAGTACTGTATACCATTTCTACTGCCTTATGTCACACATGTTGTTAATTTTTGTATTCAAAATAGTGCCCGATACCAAAAGTTGCTAATCCAATCCTAGTTTATGACCTTCGCCCAATAAGTATACTAACGGCAATGTCAAAAATCATGGAAAAAATTATTAATGTTCAGCTGCAGCATCACTTCGAAATTAATACTATCCTTCCTTCGGTTCAGTCTGGATTTAGACATGGTCATAGTTGTACGACTTGAATGGGTGCAACAGATAGAGGGTACATGACTATACTTGTTCTATTGGACTACACGATGGCGTTTGATACGGTAAATCACAACCTCTTACTAACTATTTTAAAGCACTATGGGCTGGAAGATTCGGCAGTTTCATTCATTTGAGAATTTCTTGAGAGGTCGACAACAATCCGTGCAGCTGTCTAACCATCAATCTAATGTACGTCTTCTTAGGGTTCTGTGCTCTCCCCAACCCTGTTCTCAATTTACACAGCACCTTTAAGTAATATTTTTAAGTACTGCAAAGTTCATTTTTACGCAGATGATACTCAGGTGTATATATCATATAAACCTCAAGAACAACAACATTATCTCAATTTATTGAATACAGAAGACTATTGAAGATATAGTGTATGGGCCATTTTTACTTAGGGTCGATGAGCAGCGCATACAGAGGGCTCAGAACGCCTGTCTGCGATTTGTTTTTAAGATTAGGAAGTATAACAGAAATTCGTATAAGTTAATAGAGGTAAAATGGTGTAATATGGTCCGTAGGAGGCAGCTGCATTGTTGTGTGTTTTATTACAACATAATTCAGAGAGAAAAGCCGCAATATTTATGTAAAAAAATTCAATATCGCAATGACATTCATAACTTGAACTTGAGGTCCAGGGGGGGGTCTGTGTCCTCCCAACCACAATACGGAGTTATTTAAACGGAGCTTCAGTTATCTACAATTTCAGGAATTAAAAGCGTTAGAAGAAATCAACCTGCCACGGTGGATCAAAACCAGAAAAGGGTCCAAAGTTGAACTCCACGGGTTTTGCAACGCTTCAAAAAAAGTGTATGCGGCAGTAATCTATGCAAGATGTCCGAACGAAAACGAACAAATTACGTCGACCCTAGTAATAGCTAAATCAAAAGTAGCACCTGCAAGAACAAAATCCATGTTACCATGATTAGAACTTTGCGCAGCAGTATTACTTGTAAGATTATTTAAAAGAATCACCAGAACACTAAAATGAGATCAAGAAACTCCACTCTTCGCATGGTCAGATTCCACAATCACATTGGCTTGGATAAAAGGAGATCCAACGAAGCGGAAGACGTTTGTTGCAAGTCGACTCGTTGAAATAAATAATATGATTTCGAAAGGACACTGGCATCGCGTGAGCGGCGAAGAAAATCTATCCGACATCATATCAAGAGGTATCGATCCTGAAAAATTTGTTCAGCATCAAAATTGGTGGAATGGTCCATCACGGCTGTTTAAAGAAGGATGTTGGCCACACCAAGAAATGGGTGAACTAATAAATGGACAAAGTAAAACACGAAATGGTGCAATCTAAACAAAAAAGCACTTATGACTATCTTCAACGTCAACTTCAACAACAAATGGACAGCATCTCAAGATTGGAAGAAGATATCCAGGTAGAAGAAACAAGATTTCAAGCCCGATACTTCGAAGAAGATGTATATTCCAACCTTCAGACGGATTTTTTGCCGTAATGGAAGAACTAGATGACATTAGCTCTAACCCAACTTTCTCTGAAACACGACATATCCCTTAGAACAACACTGCTGCTATCCCTCTGTCACAAATAAAACGTCCCGTATTCTATGGATCCTATGACCAATCTTCTAATATGATCACCTAATATAATCCATGCTAGTATATTCCTAACAAAAGTCGAAAAATCGAATAATTCAACACCTGCAAATATCCGATAGTAATTATGATGCAGCGTAGACACTTCGAAAAACAACCGATACCAAAACAACCGATTAATTCTATCAAAACTACTGGAGAAGATCTTGGATCTGTCAGCAACTACGACTGAAAACGGGAAAAAGATAAAGGAATTGCACGACACAACAGTCGAGTGTCTCCAAGCCATATCGAACGTGGGAATTCTAACCGAATCTTGGCGTCCTATCATTAGGTAAAGTACTTATCAGAAAATGAGACTATGGGAGAAAGAAGCAATACGAATTGTCGTTGAAAGAATCACATAAAATAAAAGACTTCCAAGCTTTATTAAGTTTCCTCAGAACTCGCTTTCAAACACTAGAAGCAATCGCTGAACCAAAAAAGCGAAACAATTCAATGCAAGCAAAAGAAGCTTGCAATAAGAATAAGTGCAGATATTGTAAAGAAAACCATATAATACACTACTGCATGAAATTCAAAAAACTTACACTTCCAGAAAGGACAGAGTACATCAAAGCTCAAAAATTGCTTGTCTCACGACAAAAGCAACACTCAACATTGAGATGTCACATCTGCCATAAACCACATCAAGCGTTGGTTCATAGAGATGAGAAGAAACAGATTAACCAAAGCTCTAAACCTTCAAAAAATGTAATCCTAGTTTCTACCAAAAAAGAAAGAAAGGACAGGATTGCATCAAGTGGACTGGAAAGTGAAGTTCTTCTAGCAATAGCCCTGGTGAAAGTTAAGACAGTTTCCGGCAGTTCTAAAAAACTCCGAATACTTATCGATTCCAAGCCTCCTTCATCACGGAAGACGAAAAAATATGTGGGCTGGAAGACGGCTCACTAAAGATATCAAAATGGAAAATGGACCTAAACGTTCAACCTCATTTTTCGAGTAACTTTACACTCAATACCACTTTCCTCATTCTATCTAAGCTAACGCAATCATTACCAAACAAAAATCTACCAATTTTCTCAGACGA